ATATATATTTTTTTTTTTTTTTTTTTTTTTATAATATTATATTATATATTATATTATATATTATAACGCGCGCGCTCGCACACACACACACGCACACGCACCACACACATGCACCACACACATGCACCACACACACGCACCACACACACGCACCACACACACGCACCACACACACGCACCACACACACGCACCACACACACGCACCACACACACGCACCACACACACGCACATAGACACTCGCACATACACACTCGCACATACACACACACACATAGACACTCGCACATAGACACTCGCACATACACACACACACACGCACATAGACACTCGCACATACACACACACACGCACACACACACACGCACACACACACACGCACACACACACACACACACACACACACACACACACACACACACACACACACACACACACACACACACACACACACACACACACACACGCACACGCACACACACACTTTTTTTGTTTGTTTGCTTTTGTGTGTGTGTGTGTGTGTGTTCATGTGTGTATGCAAATTAAAGTTTGGGGAAGATGATTATAATCTTGTGAGTGTGAGTGTTTGTAAGTATAAGTGAGTATATCTATTTATTTTACTTTCTTATTTATTCGGTTATATATATGTGTGTGTGTGTGTGCGTGTGCGTGTGCGTGTGCGTGTGCGTGTGCGTGTGCGTGTGTGTGTGTTTTAAAGAGTTTAAGTGCATGTTTGGTTAATTTCTGTTATTGTCTGTGGTTTTGTACCTACACGGGAAGGATTTGCATGCTTGGGCCCAGGTGTGATTGAGCTCGGTGCCGATGCTTTCATGTATATAATTAAGATATTTTATTTTGTTTCTCACTATCTTATAATGGTTTGATGTAACAGTAAATTTCTGTATAGTTATGGAATTGTAATATATAATACATATTTAGAATTAAGACCAGATTTTTTTGTACAAGACAAAGTAGAATTTTGTGTTTTAGTCTACAGGCACATATGTATTCATTGACACATATGCATATCAATAGTAAGCAAAAGGGAATTATCATGTGGAGTCTAATATATACATATATATGTGTGTATATATGTATTTATATTATATATACATACACATATATATACATACATATATTATATACACATATAAATATATATATATATCTATGTATATATGTGTATGTGATTGTGTATATAAATGTATACATATATATATATATATATATATATATATATATATATATATATATATATGTATGTATATATAATTGTGGATATATATATGTATGTATGTATGATTGTGTGTATGTATATATGTATATTTTTCTGAAATTACTTTGTGTGTGTAGATTTGTTGGTTTGTGTCTAATATGAGAGAGAGAGAGACAGAGACAGACAGACAGACAGACAGACAGAAAGACAGGTGATGGAGGGGGGGGGGGAGAGGGAGAGGGGTGTGAGAATGAAAGGGAGAGAGAGGGAAAGGAAGAGGGGTGTGAGAGAGAGACAGAGAGGGGAGAGTGAGAGAGAGAGATAGAAAGAGAGGGGGAGAGTGAGAGAGAGAGAGAAAGAGAGGGGCTGAGTGAGGGAGAGAGAGAGAAAGAGAGGGGGAGAGAAAGGAAAGAGAAAGAGAGAGGGGCAGAGAGGGGATAGAGAAAAGCAGAAAGAGAGGGGGGTTAGGGAGAGAGAGAGAGAGGAGGGGTTAGGGAGAGGGAGAGAGAGAAAGAGAGGGTTATGGAGAGTGAGAGGGGGGGTTAGGGAGAGGGAGAGAGAGAGGGGGTTAGGTAGAGGAAGAGAGACGGGGGTTAGGGAGAGGAGAGAGAGGGGACAGGGAGAGAGAGGGGGGAGAAGGAGAGAGGGGGGGGGTTAGGGAGAGGGAGAGAAAGAGGGGGAGCAGTTTGGGAGAGGGAGAGGGAGAGAACGAGAGAGGTTATGGAGAGCGAGAGAGAGCGAGAGCGAAAACAAGAGCGAGAGAGATGAAATCCATACAGTACTTAGTCTGAAACGAATGCATGAAGTTCAAGATTGAAATCCAAGGCAGAGAAAGCAGTGTAAAGATAGCTATAGTAACTTTGGTATTCGCTTTTATCTAATATATTATATTGTGTAAATCTATCTTAGGCTGAAGCTATAAATTGTAAAGCCAAGTTTGCTTACTTGCATAGGAAGAAAATATGCTGTGAATTTTAATTATATATTTATGCATACAATGGCAAACAATATATATGTGAACACATACACATAGAGGCATTTATATATAATAACCATATATGAATACCACACGCACACAAGCACACACACACACACACACACACACACACACACACACACACACACACACACACACACACACACACACACACACACACACACACACACACACACACAAGCACACAAGCACACACACACACAAGCACACACACACACACACACACACACACACACACACACACACACACACACACACACACACACACACACACACACACACACACAC